ACATTAGAGCTTGTGGATTGTGGATACGACAGTTGAAAAAAGTTATTCCAACTTTCTTCTTTCTTCTCTCCCAGATCGCTCAAAATTGCAAACAGAGGTTCAATCAAGGCTCGGCTTATTTTGCTTATTCCTATCATGAGAATCCAAAGCTTCACATTTCAATGGTTTCGGAGATGTAACTCCGGGGCATGAGCTGAAATCCTTTGGTTATAATTGGATACACCCACTTTATGTTTTCCAATTCTTGTTTGCCAATTTTTGGAACAATGCCAGATCTCAGCCATATTGTTGTTGTCTGTGAGGAATCTATTTGCCCTATGCGCAAAATTAAATAGTGAGAAGTCTCGTTGCTAGACGTTCATAAGACGTGTCGATATCTGCTCTCGAGTAGTTCCAGAACCCTAGGTTGTCCATGTATCGGCCTAAATTAGCAGCCTAAAGTGTGGCATTACTATTCTTCCTTATGTCATACAAGATGTCATGGTTCTAGGTGGTTATCTTGCACAGTCGTAAGGCGGATAAAATCATCCCAGATACTGGAGTAGGCTTGCCTTGAAATTAAGTCGTAGAAAGGACAATGAAGGCACCCAGACTAGTCACTCTCTCGGTAGGTTTAAAAAGGCTGGGAATAAAGAAGGAAAGAGAGAGTAGAGAGCTATCTACATTGTATATTTAGTTAGGTTAGTTAGTTAACGTAATCGGTAAGCGAGTCGGCCATGTAAGCCAGCCGGCCACCCAGCCCAAAACGCGTCCATAGATTAGCACTTAGTCAATTCAACCGCGCACCATGCCACCAATTCGCTCCCAATCCTCTAGCAATTCAGCAGAGCAAGAGGGTAGGGTTTTATTAGCTATTGAAGCTTTTAAAAAGAAAGAAATCTCTTCAATTCGCGAAGTGGCACGCGTTTTTAACATACCACGTTCAACACTTCAAGACCGACTACGTGGCCACCAAAATCGCGCGATTTGTCGCGCAAATTCGCATAAATTGACCGAATATGAAGAGGAATCTCTTCAAAGATGGGTTCTCTCTATGGACTCTCGTGGATCTGCCCCCCGGCCTTCTACTGTACGAGAAATGGCGAACCTTTTACTTCAACAACGTGGAACCACCCCGGTTATTTCGGTCGGCGAAAAATGGGTTTATAACTTTGTGAAACGACACCCTCTCCTCTCATCCCGATTCTCGAGACGCTATAATTACGAACGTGCGAAGTGCGAAGACCCGAAAATCATCCAAGGGTGGTTCGATCTTGTTCAAAAAACAATCCTCCAATTTGGAATCCACCCCGATGACGTTTATAACTTCGATGAGACCGGCTTCGCGATGGGGCTAATCGCTACAGCGAAGGTGATTACAAGGAGCGAATTCTACGGCCGGCGCTCGCTTTTACAACCTGGAAATCGCGAATGGGTGACTGCTATTGAGTGTACAAATTCGTCGGGTTGGGCCCTCCCTCCGTGTATCATTTTTAAAGGCAAAGTCTTTATTGAATCATGGTTTGATGGCCTTCCGGATGACTGGCGATTTGAAGTTAGTCCGAACGGTTGGACCTCTGATGAAATTGGACTTCGTTGGCTTGAAAAGCTCTTTATTCCTAGCACTTCTTCGCGTACGAAGGGGGGTATCGTCTCCTAATACTCGACGGACATGGAAGCCATTTGACCCCTAAATTCGATGAAATTTGCGAGCAAAATAAGGTTATACCAATTTGTATGCCTCCGCACTCCTCTCATCTTTTACAACCCCTGGATATCGGTTGTTTTGCTGTGTTAAAGCGATCATATGGTCGGCTAGTTGAAATGAAAATGCGGAACGGGATCAACCATATCGATAAACTTGACTTCCTTGAAGCATACCCCCTCGCACGAATCGAAGCTTTTAAATCGGAGACTATTAAGAATAGCTTCGGAGCAGCTGGCTTAATACCTTTTGCACCTAATCGAGTGATCTCGAAGCTAAATATCCGTCTTCGAACCCCGACCCCCCTCCGAGTAGGGGGAGCGATTGGGACCCAAAAACGCCCTCGAACTACGTGCAATTACAAAAGCAAGCTTCGTCAATTAAAGCTTTACTTCGTGCTAGATCAAAGAGCCCTCCGAGCCCGCTAAATTGCGCGATAAACAAGGTTTTAAAAGCCTGTCAAATCACAATGCAGTCCGCCGCTTTACTTGAGAAAGAAGTGAGCGATTTACGCGCCGCCAACGAGAAGCAGAAGCAAAAGCGGACTCGGTCTACGAGGACGATAGTCCACGAAGGAGATCTTTCAGTCCAGGAGGTTCGTGAGCTACGTGGGGAACCATTCGAGGCCCAAGTTGCACGTATCAATACCTATCGTGAGCAGGTATCGGAGGGTTTACAGCCACCTATACGGGCCGGGCGAGCCTGTGGAATATGTAGGCAGCCGGGGCATAGGAGAGAAACATGTCCAAATAGATAAATGAATTTAGTTACATTAATTTAATGGCGTTGTGGCTATGATATATCCATTTAAACTTAGTATGTTAGACTGGGTGGCCGGCTGGCTTACATGGCCGACTCGCTTACCGATTACGTTACTCGGTGAATGGTGCCTCAGGCACTAATTATGACCTGACTCTAACATTCGTTTTAGTTATATGAAGGGAACTAAAAAGAAGGGAAATTAGCGCGAGGACGACCGGGGTCGAACCGGAACAGACAGGTAGTGGAAGATCCTGGGCACTTCCCTCGTAGTACACACGCGATGCATGTTACCACTTGGCCACCCGCTGTTGAGTACCCAACAAGCATTAGGTGACCCTTTCTTTAAGATTGCACTTTCCAAAGTTTCTTTGCCTATATATAAAGACACAGTGGTCACCATGTCTATCTTAAACGTGTATGCATGTCAAGAATGAGTACGGAGTATATGTTGTCATTCTTGGATATACCTATGGGCTTGAGTTTCATAAAGTTGGTGGCTCCTTCCTGGTCTAACAGGACTGTTTGGAACCGTTTCGCAGCCCGATTTCAACGTTATGCAGGGGAGATATTCCACGGCTTTTGAGCTTCTCATACTAGTCATGGGACTAAAGACCGAGCCTGGATGCTCTCTCGGTATGGTCACGACAGCATTGTATAGCTTCGGCATTCCAACAGATGGTAGCGTAAGGAACAGTATGAGGAACAGTATGAGGTCGTCGCCCTTAAGCTTTGTGACGTAGTTGAGGTCGACCAGAGGGACAGAAAATTATATTGGTTCTTTTGCCATGTCAGCTGTTCTCCGTTTGAAAGTCACATCCGGGGCGAAGGCGTAAATCTAGACCCAGAACAATGCTAGATTGGTCAGAGAGATATTTCCAACAACCGCAATTGCCCTAGGTATGATTTCCTCTAATTCGAATATAGCACTTTCCTATTTCAAAGATCTCCGAAAAAGAAGAACTTTATATCGTAGGGCAACTGGGCAACTGGATTGAGGTATTTTCCAGCCCAATATCGACTCTCGGTTTCAAACCCCCTGGAGCGTAGTGTTATTCCTGATGATGTATACCCGCATATTGGGAATTCGAGGGTCTAGACAAAAGAATCAGCCTCCATAAAAGTTGAAATACGAAGAAATCCCGCATATCCTCGATATCTAGAAACTTCACCTTCTGCGTGACACCTCCCACAGAATCAAGTAAATGGAGCACATATGTCATTTACTGAGTCGATCTTCCAAGTTATTCCAACTCGATAGTGACCCTGAGGATTGTATCGATAGACAAATGGATTCTGCAGATAATTTCACTAGTTTCCAAGGTTATCAACGGAGATCGATCGTGGCGTGAACACACCATTCAAGCCCCAACCCTTAGTGCAAACTAGGCAAGGCTGTATTCTTGGAATGTCCGTGGAAGCCCTCCAGCGTTGATCTCCCATGATTTTCAGGGCTCTGGGCTCTTTGGGTGTGTTATCAGCATATGCCATGCCTACCTAGGTGGTTTGATGAGCTTGATACAACCCTCACATATCTCCTGAAAGAAGACTCTAGAATAGGAGGTTGCTTTCAAGCTGAATTCCAAGCAAATCAATGTCCTGCAGAATTAACTTTTGAAGTTCTGTGGACTCGTTCGAAGGATTGGTGTCATCGAATCGACTGATCAACTTCCTAAATCTCGGCGCCAAGGTAAGCTGATCGTTCCGCAAAGCTGCCTTTGCATAACTAATATGCACATACCCGGCCCGGGGGAAGGCTCTGGGGGAATGATCGAAATGATCTCATCCCGGGTGTTTTTGAGGCTAATATTATAGCTCGCACCGGATGGACTCCCTATGAATTTCTCCCGGCGTACAGCATCCGGTCTTGAGTATCATCTTCTCGTCTCGTCCCCATTGCCCAGGTACACCTGAGGTCAGGTCCTAGGTGATATCTAGGTAGCCCTAGAGAGTGCTCAAAAGAGGCTAAGGTGGCATAGCTTGAGTTCGATGTCGTCAAAGGTGATGATCCTTCACGGGTATCCGCGATGAAGCCAGTATACAAAGCTCTGCTACTTGCATGCGTAAAAGCATGTTATGCGAGAGCAATGCAACTACTGTTCAGAAGCCAGTTCTAAGGTGCCTACGACGACTTTTTTCTACACAGCGATGAATACGATGAATACGAAGAGCACAATTAAATCTCACAGATGGAAGCAAATCAATTGACAAGACACAAGCAGCCCATTTAAAAGTAAAAGCCGTATCCCAACCGTGTAGACCGATCCCAATGCATAATATGAAAAGGTCCCATTGAACCAGCAGCCATGACCCGATCACATATGAAAAGCAAGAATTCGAATTGCCCCGACCCATGCAAGATGCTAATAATGACAAATACAAAGAGAAAACAAGGATATCTCTGAAACAGCAACGGGAACAAGACTCCCCTCTGTAGGGAGCCGCAAGCAAAGAAGCATAGACATGAAGACAAAGCGTGAGGTTAAGCTGGGCATCAACCAGATGAGCGGGTTCGGGTTTAATGTGGGTTTTCTGTTTTCTGGTTTTATCAAACGCTTCATGCGATGAAGGCGCGGTCCAGCTGGCGCAACGCCCTCGTGTCCTCACCACCGAATCCGATCTTCTCATTAGGAATATCTCGTGGCCCGTCAGCGAAAGAGCTCTGTGCGGGGGCTCCGTTCGAGCTCGTGGCCGGACCACCGGGAGAGGCAGTTGCGGAAAGAGGTGCCAGCGATGCACCGTTCATTAATGAGTTGATGCCAGGAACTGCATTTCCAGCACTCGCCGGGTCGGAGGACTTTGGTGAGACGGCGATCGGGTTGAGAGAGGGCAACGAGGCGGAATGCTCCTGCTTCACCAGGTGAGGACTGTGCGCGTGTCCGTTTGACTGCGCAATGGACTGAACTGGCACGCGCGGTGATGCCATGCGAGGATCAACTAGAGCATGTCCGTAGACCGGTGGGGTGCGTTGCTCGTGAGCGTGTGCTGCGTGGGCGTGGGCTTGGGCCTGAGCATGGGCATGGGCATGTGCGTGAGCGTCGTGTATTGAGCGTGGCGATCGGTTCATGTAGCTTGGTTGTTGTGGCGGTCCAGCTGGAGGTAATGTTGATTCCATATGTGGTCGATCATATGGGCCTGACATCCCATGTGGAGGCGGTGGAAGTCCGCCATGTTGATGGGGTGGAGGCTGGTGATGTGGCGGGCCATAATGATGATGTCCATTGGCACCTACCGGGGGGAGATATGAAGGGCCAGGGCCATATTGAACCGAGACAGTCGGTGGTGTGGCGAGAGGAGTAGGCGGCCAAGCATAGGCAGGCGGGTATGGCTGTGTATGAGTGACGCGCGGGTATGCGCCGAGGGGATGAGGAGTGATGGGGTAAGCAGCGCCTGCCATAGGTCCACGGGTAACGACAGGGAGATTTTGCTGATCATTGACTGTCGATTCGGGATAGAGACCTTTCTGGGGTCGAACATGGCGCAGCGCAGGATCTGAAGTTGGTTGTTGCAAGTTGGCGGCAGAAGGATGGGAACGTGAGTAATAGCTGATCAGATGCAAGTGTTGACCGTTTGATGTCGTGATACTGAAGGATTGTTTCATCAAACCATCTGGCTTGTAACGGTAGCCATCTGGTCCCTCGTCTGTGCCATCGCCCCGGTCATCGTCACTGCCCCGACTCTCAGGAGTCTTGCCTCCTCGAGAGGTAGAGCCCTGAGAAACACTGCCGCCTCCACGTTTGCCTTCCATTTCGCGATAAGTCAAAAAGCTACCGGATACACGACTGGCACTCCATGACTTCCCGTCGGTCCATCGCCGCATACCCGCTTCTCGCTCATCCCATACAAAGACTGAACCGGACCGGATTGATTGTCGCTCTTTCTCTGATAATCGTCTTTGTACACGAGGTAAAAGGCCGATGCGACAAGCCTCGAAAAGAATGATAGCGTCCGCGGGTGTGCGAACGTGTCCGTAATACGTCTCCATCCAAGCTCTCGAGTCAACCGAGGACCCCGGTTGATTTGGTCTGATTGCCAGGTTGAAGGATAGAAGGTTTTTTTAAGGGTTGTGAGTACGAACTGAAGGGGAGTTAGATCTAGAGGAAAAGGAAAAGAGGCGCAAGTGGAGAGAAGGAAAATAGGGTTCAGGTCCAAATATAAAAGGAACCAGGATCCGACTTGGATATGGGGTAGTCTGTAGACCGGCGTGGGTGGGTAAAGGCCGAGCTTTTTACGTCACCCAAGACGGTTAGACCGGCTGAAAGTAATTATTCTTTTTTCTTTTTTCCTTTTCCCTTTTTTTTTTTTTGGAAACAACTTTATCCCAAAATGGAAGAGGGAGAACTTCAGAGATTGATGTGGGCCAAGTGGATTTGAAGGCGTAAGAATGCCGAACAGAGGGAGAGAGCCAAGACTGAAAAGACACAAAGAGATAGAGAGTGGGGGACCTACTTTATGACTCCACAAGGTTTTTGAAGGAATGGCTTAGCTGTTGTCTCGGGAACTTTTATTAAAAAAATGAAAGTGAGGAAGAAAGAGGGAAAGGATGGAAAAGGGCAAAAAAGAGATAGAGAGATCTTTCAGCTAATGCAAGCTTATGAGAAACAATGAAGATATCATAAAAAAAAGAAGGTTAAATAAGGGAAGCGGAGAGAAGAAGAGCGGATCAAGCGATCCAAGCGAAAAGATCGAACGGAACTTGCTAAACGCCGAGATTCCAAGAGAATTATTTAATTTAATTTACTCTATTTACTCTATTTACTTTATTTAAGTTATTTAATTTATTTAGCTTATTTAGTTTACCTTAAGAGAGTAATACTGGAACCTCTTTGAAATCCAAAGTTATGCATGGGAACCTTGGAAGGAGTCTCTATACAAAGGCTTCAATACTGTGTAGCCTAGGTAATTTATGTACAAAAAGTATAACTAAATCTTAACGCCAATCTTTAACTGAAATTCTATTTAAATTTCTTTTTCCCTGTCACGGGGAGTGAAACAGTTTTCCGGATTGGCTAATTCCACGTTTAACTCTTGGCTCGGCTTTACGGGGTTTGAAAAAACCTTGGTAAGCAGTAAGGTTAATTTGGCCCCCTTCAAAGGCCCCATTCCTGATAGATTAAACTAAAACGGATTAAGGGTAGAAGGATCAGCATTAATAGATAGACAATATGTATGGTAATACGGAGTACATACCTAATACATAATTAAAAAATTAAAAAAAAATTAAAAGGTATGTACATAGAAATGTTCTGTGTCAGAAAAGTGGCGCTCTGATCGCAAAAAAAGGTTAGTGCGGAACTCTTAAGCTTAATCCAACACGAGGAGGCCGGCGCTGAACTTTATGTTTGCTCGCTTACAGAGGTCATATCCACCCCCTCCACCGTGGTTTATTTTCATTCTTGGCAAATGGGGGAGAACTTCATTACAGTATATTGTACTTACTCCGTAGTGGACCTTGGGTTATCCTTCAGATGACCGGAGTATCTACGGAGTATGTACATCTTACATAATATAGTTAAAATATAGTTATCTGCATACCAACCTAGGTAGGTATATCACCATCGGACTCTTAATCGGACTTCCGTGAAAAGCTCAATCCAATTGCCTTTCTCGGAGTCTAGTTTATAGTTTTGTTTTCTTACGAAATGAAAGCCCACTTGATTATCGGGATTTAGCACCCAACGAGGAACTAAGGTTAATCTCATATTCATTAATAATAGCCTAAACAGGGTTTGAGCGGTTCCGTCCGATGCGGCCTTATCCAGCATCCTATCCCTTGGCAAATCCCCATACGAGTCATATCCAAACAAGGTTGATCTTAGCGAATCTGGCCCGGAGCATTTTAATTTACATCCGATATCCGATATCTTCTAGGCTAATAATGATAAGAAGCCACAGTGGCCATATCCTCGTGACTCGTACTCGTATCGGGTCCAGTGACGCAGTTGTTCTGATTTTAACTGCGCTGACCGCAAAGCTTGACGAGATCCTAGTCCAGATCAAAGCAATGCAAAGAAAAGAAAATATGGACTAAAAAGATGCAGTGTACACACTCTACGGCGTATGGTGGATCAGACATGACTTCTCTAGGTCTCAAGCCCGTTGATCCCATGTATGTACGTTGTTTGCGCGCGTAAAAGCATGCATAGCGAGAGCTAAAGAAGCCACGTAACATGATCGCCACGGCCAAGCATACGACGGATTACGACTAACTATACTAGCTACGGGTTATGTATTTGTAGAAATTGCCTTCGTATCTGACTTATATTGCTCGTGTTCGACCAAGAATAACAAATAAACATTGGCTTAAATCTAACGTGATTCGCCACAAGCGATCGGCCAAAACATGATTCGACTAAATCATATCCGCTGACATATTGACTCAGCGATAAGGTTAACTGGTCCGAGTCTGCGCTCCGTGCCGTTCATGTTCGCCGTGCAGTTAGCCTTGTACTTAATTAGCCTTGCAGGAGGCCTCGCATTCTAGATCCAATATTAGACCCCTGTACATCGCATGAGGCGTGAAAGGTACTAGAAACATTCGGAAATTGCCACAATAATAGCTCTGGGCAAGCAAATTTAAACTTGTGTTATATCTTCATTGTAATTCAACATGTCACGCACGGGCCGAATAATGCAAGCCAGTGAAAGCGTATCGCCAACAAAATCCCCCGTTGTACAAGAATCACTCTAATAGGGTTCGGCGGAGCTGATTGCTTGGCAGCTGATTTTCTCCTTGGCTTCAGCCCTGATTCGGATTTGGAGTTTAGAAAGCTGGGGGGGCCCATGTGTTTCTATTCTAACAAAAGAGTATGGCACGAGCCGATGTTGTCAGCGTACTTGATACATACATTGTATCGCCTGCATTACATGTCTCACACGGCGCCGTCCTGTGTGACTAGATTATCACTGTGGTGACCTGTTTTTCCATCTACCAGGTCTACGGAGTGTGTAAGGTCGCACCACTTCTTTAATCTAGGTTCAATAGAATAAGAAACAAGGCCTGGGTGACCAAATGGAAGACATAGGGGGAGTGCGTATGATTTAACATGCAAGCTATAAGGATTAGTGGACTAGTACTCCATAGGATTATGCTGTGTTCTTGTGCTGCCACAGTCAAATTTGTTTTGATGGTTAATGATAGGCTCTGGGCAATAATCGAGGTTAACAATCAGACTGGTGCAGCTGATCATTCATGATGTCGAAAAAGGAAGTTGGAATGGTTACATTTCGCCTTGCCAATCTACCTTGGGTTCTCCAATCAATACGATAAAATAAGCATAACCAACAGCACGAATCACCACATGTGTTCCCTTACCTGAAGCATGCAACCATGGATATACTTTGTAATTCGCTTCAATATTAGTGTAGAAGCTCAGGCCTCGACCGAATTTTTTTAAATATTCTGAAGATCGCCTGAATCCACCCCCGACAGCCGTGATCCCGCAAGTCTTGCTACATTAGGATAGTCTGTCTCTCATTTTCCCCAGGTGGAAATTCATCTTCAGTGAGGTATATATCGCCCCCTGTCCACACCTGAGGCATAATAATACCAATGTCCAGATTTGGCTTTTCTAATCAAAGAGACTTCCAGGGCTTGACTACAAACAAAAACAATTGTTGCGTATCGCAAGGTCTATCCGACTATCCGAAGAATTCCTTTCCTAAGTGGATCCAGCTCCACATCTCGCTAACTATATCTCACCTACTGATACACATAGAGTACCCTTGCGGGATAAGCCGACTGTTTTGCCGACCGTGGTTCGTGCGGACCTTCTGCAACTGTATTCGTTAGCTGCTAATCTAATTAATGGTCTCGGATTACCTTCGGATCGAAGATACGGAGCTGAGATATAACTCCGCTACACAGCATTTGCTTTTATGAATAATCTCCGATCCGAGATGCTTAGGTGGCCTTACATTACCCCGGTATGAATGAGAGCCTCAAGTCAGCCAAGGTATTTCTAGATTTGTCCAGAGACAAATTGCATATAAGGCAACATCAAAACAAAATATAAAATGACGTGCTCTTGTATTGTCATGCATTCGTTGCAACCCTGGAATTAAAGGTTGCCAAGAATTAATTTTGTGAAACGTCACACGAGCTTATCTCCACTAGCATAATTAAGGTATCCATTGTCTGGATGAATAGGGAATCTGCTGGAATTAGTTTAAGTGGAATTACTTCTTTTAATTTCATTTCATATATGGTTATGTTTCATTGCATGGGGTCAAAATGGTTTCATTTTATTCTGGTCCAAGTTTGTAATATTGACTTTCAAGGTTTACGATATTCATCACATCCTATAGGGGTCCAAGAAATGGCAGTGCAACAAATGCTGGTGCCTACCCAAGTAAGAAATCATAAATATTTCTAAGGCCAAGAGTTATGAATGCCAAGCATAACTTTAGCTAGACCGATAGAGGCAAATGTCATCGAAGGCTAAAATCCAGTTTTCCCCGAACCATGGAAATCGTGGCAAAACAAATTTATGGTTAATGTGAACTCCGTACCTTTATTTCACTTAACTTTACTTTACTTTACCTAGACATTTCCAAGGTTCCAAATTTGCTTTGACCCAGCTTACATGGACATAAATCCCATGTGGCGTGCATTATTTCGGGGAGTTTCTGAAGCGAATACGAAGATCTAGTACTCCGTACCTACCGTAATATTGGAGTGTAACCTTAACCTGGATCATCAACGGATCAATTACTACCATAATTGGAGATACAAATCACATCTATTTGTAATGTGATACGTCAGGCAGGGATGGTACTGCATGACTCGTACAAGGCGCGCACTGCCCAAACTTCTTTTGCTTATGCTTAACCCTGGTAAGGTTGGGGCCCCTTGCCTGCTGATCCTGGCCCCCTTATTGGCATGGAAGTTGTGCTCGCTTTGTCAAAGTCAAATATATTAATACAAGGCTGTGCACTATGAGGCTGTAATCTTTTCTAATTCTAATCTGATGGAATTTTGTTTTT